TGGATTATTCGTGATGTTCCCCGATCTTTCTAGAATGCATTACGTGTTACCAGTGTCACATGACTTCCTCTGTCATAACAGTATTATTCAGATTCAGTGTCATTGAAAAAAAATACATGTATATATACATATATACATGTCATTGTATTAATTATATTTAACATTTTTATTACACTATCTTTTATGATCATTCTTAAAACATTTTAAGAGTATATTCTTATATTCTAATTACATGAGAAGTACTATTTAATCTCTCAGTAATTTCTTATAAACAGCAATTACATCAATTAATGTCTGAAAATGATCAACTAATCCAAATTAGTTATTCAAATAATTAGTTTTATATTATTATTCCAACAATCGCATAATCAAAACTACAATTAACTGATTGTCATGAAAACAATATACTAATTGAAAATAGTTTTTGATTACTCCAACAATCAATTAATCAAAATTACAATTAAATCAACTGTCATGAAAATAATAAACTGTATTACTGTTTTCAATTATTCCAATAATCTTTTAATCAAAATTATGATCAAATTAACTGTCAGAAACATAATCAACTCACTTGGGTATTGTCTTTACTTGTATTTGTTAAGTGTAAAGCTACATAATGGGCTATGTGTGTTCTACCCATTGTGGGAAAGCTACTAAAACTATCTACCACTGTCACTAATTCTGAACTGATGACTAGCAGAAAGGTAACTGATTGGCAGCCCATCAACTCTTTTTTTTTTTTTGACAACTTTTGTTTGTCTGATACAGGATAACATGTACCATGGTTTGAGGAATACTGTACTAATTGATTAATCAATTAGAAAATACCACTGATCATCTAGCTCCACCCCTCAGATGTGTTTTTACCCAGCGGTTGTTTTCTGTGCTACATTCATATAGGAGTGGTAACAAAAAAAAACATGAAATCTTTATATAATATTTCAAGGACAATAAAGGGGTCCTTAGTCAACCAAGTTGACCTATTCAATTCATCAAACACCTATCTGCCTATATCTAGCCCTGGCTCCCCAAGTACTCATACCTCTCTCTCTTCAATTTTCTCATCCTTTTCTGTCTACCAAATCTGAAAGTAATCTATTCCATAGGCTGAACACTCCATTCAAAAAATAAAACTGCCTAATTTGCATAAAATGTCCTCATTGTGAAGTCATAAGTTCCTGAAACATGAAAGAAAAGATGATGCATTCATCTTACTCCATTTATAATTTTGAAAACTTTAACCAAATTACTTTTCCTGCCTCAAGAGAAAATAAGTTTAAGGACTACATATGACAGTCCCTCCATCCCAGAAATTTCCTAGTATTCCTCCTTTGAACCTTTTCAATTCATTATCTTTCTTAAAGTAAAGAGCTCAAGACTGAACACAACACTCTAAATAAGGCTTAACCATAGATCTCTACAAAGAAATAATTTATTTTTACCTTTATAAATACAACCACTTTTGTTTTTGAAAGGGCAACATGATCTAGACACTTAAAGTACCAAAGAACACCTTGTAACTAATAAAAGTGACACAAAAACAAGGAACATTTACACAACTTCATTTATTTTTTCAACCATACTGTGCATTGTTTCTACCAAAATCTAAATAAATCCACCCATCTTATAAATAGCCTGAATTTTTTAAAATTTTCCTTCATTAGGTTACTGGTTAACCATCTGTTCATTACAATAAAAAACTTAAGAGGTCACTGTCCATGAAATTCTTAAACTTCATCTCAGAGCAGGATATTTTCATATTCATACCCAAACTGAAGCATAATTTTAGTTTACAAACAAAGTGAACATCCTAAGACAATAGTGGCCAAATGCAAATAATCTCAACAATCATCTATTACAATAATTAAGAAACAGGCACTGAATAAATGTTTCAACCACATAAGCAGCTTGCAAGTAAGATTTGTTTATCTAAAATATTCCATCTATTTCTTCTTTTGCTTAGATACTATTTTCAGGATTGATTTTTGAACCCTCTTCTGGCTGTGGTCATCATTTTCTAGTATTTACATCAAAAATGATAATGTGAATGCAGTAATATGAGCAGTGATGAAACAAATTGAAGCTAAACAACTAAACTGTCATAGCAAGACTAACCAAAATCCCTGTACCAGAATGAATGGAGTGGATGACAATAAAAGATCTTTTGATTTACCTTTAATGATAAATAAGTTACTAAATACATAGAAAAAAATTAGAAATTTCAGTGAAGCCTTGCAACTCAGAAAGTAAATTCTGTCCATGTACAAAAGGCCTAAATATCATATAGCAACAAAGACAGAGCTGAACAATGTCTTAGCAATAATATCAAAATATGGGACTGATGAAAGTAATTTCTTCCTCAGAAAAAAAAAAGAGAACTTCTTCAAGATCAACCAGAGAGAAAATGACAAAAGAAGGATACAGAATGGAAAAAAAGTACATGAAGAAAAAACCTTAAAAGAATGATGTAATGTAGGATAAAAGAAAACAAAAAAAAATCAACCAAGACTTTTTCAGAGCATCAACACCTAGAGCCCAAGATCTACCCAGATGAAGAATTTATATATACGAGTATATAGCAAAAGCAATAATGATGGGACAGCCAAAGTGAGAGTATATTCACTGCAAAATGAGAGAATGGACAGACTATTTCATAGGAAGGTATAATGTGGACAAGGTAACAGATTGACACATGCACTCACATTCATAGCAAATCACAGAACAGGAAAATATTTAATTTTGAAATGAGCAGTTCTAAACCAAAAACAAAACACTGATCTAGAAAACAATACACATAAGAATAAGTCCCTAAGATAAGTTGTAGGTTCCTAGACATCAGCAACGGTTTTGCCAGGAACAACTATAGCAGATATAAATAAGTAAAAATATATAAAAACAAACAAATAACTTCAAAGAAGTTAACTTCCAAAGAGTATGTCTTTATAGATCAGTAAGAAAAAAGAGGAAAGAACAAAGCAGACTTGGCTCTTCAAACAGAAAAGGCATCTGAAGTAGACCTATAAAAGTATTCAAAACAAAATTAAAAATGCATCAAGTTTCATATTTTCAAACATGCTATTGTGTAATTACAGAAAATTACTCCTGGAAAAAGGTCAGCATCAACTATATGTCCCAGTTTGTGTGAAATCTTTCCATATGCAATTAAACAACAAAGTAGGCTTTTAATGGCTGGACCTCGTCATCGAAAAAGTAGGCTTTAAAAACTCTGCTGAAAACAGAATAACAACAAAAAGCAGCACTGGTTAACAATACAAAGTTAATAGCCATATCTCAATGTGTTGCAATATGAAAAAGCCAATACTTCATTGTTTTTCTTATTGAATTTTTCTTAAAAGGTAAAATGTATTGCTCTCTTGTATGGATTTGTCACCTTATTGGAATTTTTTTATAATTGCCTACTATCAATACTAACTGATCTTTTTTTTATTCAATACTATTTATTTTTGTAATGATTTTTAACTGCAAAAACAGAAAATGTATATACTATCTTTAACAAAATACAATAAACATTTCCAGGCATGAAGAATGCTAAAAATCCTATAAGAGAAATAAGGAGCACTGAAATAGGATGTTAATTAAAAGGCGAATCTAAGTAGCATTTTGTACTAGTTTACAAAAATGCAACATCATACATAATTTCTGGTTATCAAACTTTCAGTGTTGTGGTTATTGTTAAGTTTATAGAGTTTGCAGATGAAATTAATACTGAGGATTTCTAGCTGTATTGAGAATGTTGAGGTGTTACAGAATAGCTTGGATCAAATAAAAGAGTTGAATAAAATAGATGCCAAATGACCTTTAATTACAGTAAGCACAAGATCATTCATTTGGGCTATCATAATTTGGATCACATATTTAATAGAGATGGAAGCTACTCTGTACTGAATAACTGAAGAAAATAATCTTGACATATTGGTGGATAAGTCATGTAAGCCATCAAAGCAATTCTCTGTTGCTAGCTAGTAGTAGCAAAACTAACACTACAAGTAACATAATTTTTCTTATTCAGGATCTATTCAAAAGTTAAAAGAGGTAGTTATATCTAAATAAATCATTAATTAGGCATGCTATCAGTGTATAGATTTTTGTCTTTTTATCTAACTTCTAAGGGAATATTGACTAGTTGTAAATTGTTCAGATGAGAGCAACAAGAATGATTCTGGGGATGGAAGGGTTATATTAAGAGTATATGTTAATATATTTTATTTTTTCTTATGAAAAGATGGGTAAGTGGTGATATGATTGCAGCTCTACTAATACTATTAGTATTAGAGCTGATTGGGATAAATATATATTACATATACTTATCAGCCCTACCAGTACTAGTAGGAGAGCTAATCTAGGCAATGCCCACATTCACAAGTTTATCTAGGGATACTTCAGTGATAGGAAAAATCCCTCTAATTATTTGGGCTATGTTCCATAGACAATAGGACAAGAAACGTCTTTAAAAAAAAATAGGTTAAGACTAACTAGCCTATAAGCTGTAGTTAAGACGGTAGTTTTCTAACAGTAAGAATATTAGTATTAGTAGTAAGTAATAGTACTAATACTAATTACTAAGTAATACTAACATTAATAGTGTGATTGGCTTATGTCTTGAAGCTATGAAAAACGAATTGCCATCAGCAGTAGTGAAGGCCGACTCATCACAAGATTTTAAGAGGAATAAATAAATTCCTGAAAAATAAACGATACCTAGAATACAGGCTTTAGAGAAAAATAAACAGATTTTGCCTTGTTTTGATAAAAGAGTTAGCACAATGGATCACATATAAAGTGTAACTGATAGTGATACTTGGGTCATGAAATTTCTCAGGCTGGGGCTACTTCGTCTTAATGACTCTTACTCAGTTTCTTCGCTTAAAAAGTTAGTTAAATTTAAAAGCTAAAATGATAAAATTACGCAAAAAATACATGCTTATGCATGTTCATACGAAATTAGTATTATTAATGTTAGTAACTAATCAATTACTTACACATTTTGTTATGAAATCACAATTGCCTCAACAGTCAACTTTTCGCTAAAAGTAAAACTTCACCTTCGAATCTAAGTTTTAATTTTAATTTTACCTAGCCTCAAAACACTTCACCTCTAGTGGCTGTATAACTTGGACAAAGAATATAAAGAAAGGCGCGTGTGTATTAAATCCTAATTAATTTATTTATAATAAGAGACTATTACAAAAAAAGTGCAATTAAAGCATCTGACTGATAAAAAATGTAGCTCTGTCTCGTAGTTTTTACCACTTGTGATAACAGATAAGGTACACGAGCATCACCTAGTAGTGGATAAGGCATAGCGAAGGATAGCTTTGATCCTCAACAAAACTAACTACAAATATTAATGAGAACAAGCATACATAGGATAATCAACAAAAATATGTTCCAATTTTTTTATCAATGTGTATATTCCTGTGCAAACTGATTTTCGGGCAAGTTTGTTTGTTTGTAAGTAAGCACAAAGTTACACAATGGGCTATCTATGCTCTGCCCACCATGGGTATCGAAACCCGGATTCTATCGTTGTAAGTCCGCAGACATACGCTGTGCTACAGGGGGCTTTCGGACAACTATGTGAAATAATAATATTGGTCAAGTTTAACAAAAAGAACACAATCTTTATTATAAAACAGACAAAAGATATCACAGCCTAAGTGTTTGTGCATATGAAAAAACAATTGATTGTACAATAATTAGATTCATAGTGTGGCCCGGCATGGCCAGGTGGTTAAGGCGCTCGACTCGCAATCTGAGGGTCGCGGGTTCTAATCCCCGTCACACCAAACATGCTCGCCCTTTCAGCCGTGGGGGCGCTATAATGTGACGGTCAATCCCACTATTCGTTGGTAAAAGAGTAGCCCAAGAGTTGGCGGTGGGTGGTGATGACTAGCTGCCTTCCCTCTAGTCTTACACTGCTAAATTAGGGACGGCTAGCGCACATAGCCCTCGTGTAGCTTTGCGCGAAATTCAAAACAAACAAACAAAAGATTCATAGTGTTGCGTCAGCGAGGCCACGTGACGAGTGTCACGCCACCTGCTTTCTAGAAATATCCTGTTCCTTCGTGAATGCCCTAGCATTTACTAGATTGGGGGTAGTCTGGTATATATAGGATGGTCACGGCGTGACGTGACAATGTGTGTGTGTAGGTAATGAGTAATTGAACTGCAGTCAGAGAGAGACGTATT